GTGGTTAAACAACATGGCACAGACTACACTGTTGTGGCTGAAACCATATTTTAGCAAATAGGCCAATGCCAAAGGTGGCCACCCACCACAGAGTCCACAGAGCTGGCACTTAAAAAGAAAAAATCCTTTTTGACAACATCCATTCTACAAAGCATTTCTGAACTCTTTCCCTCCAGGGCCTACATTCTGGGATGGCTTCTTTACCCCCACCACCACCACCAAGGGGCCTAGAAATGCCATTAAACACACAGGGGAAGCCTACGTAATCTCACCCCAAAGGAACAGACCACATATTTGATTCAGGACTGTGCACAGACCAGCCCTAGTTTCTCAAGGCACACCCACATGGATGGGTACATCATGTATCCCGAGCATTTCAGAAGGGTTAGATCAGAGGAAAAGCCTCCACTGAAGCCACAATGTATTTACCCCCTCCCAACACCCCCCCAAGAGGCGGATGGCTTTGACTATTCCACTTTGTTTTTCAAACAGGCGCCCCCCGCTGAAAAATGGGACCCCTAAGCTGCTTTTAACCATGCCAAGGGGAACTTAGAGATCATAGAACACATGAAGCTGCCTTATACTGAACTAGCAGTAAAGCCCGTTGTGGAAATAAATACAACGAGATCTAGAAAGAGGCTCTGGGGGAGTGCTCTGGCTTTGGGCAAACAGTGTCATTTTGCTGTGGTGACCTCAGCAGGGTATAATGACAGAGTCCACTGTTTTCTCCAGAGGAACTGATCTCTGCTCCCTGAAGAGTAGTTGTAATTTTGAGTGATCTGTAGCCCTCACCTGGAGATTGGCAACAATTGTTACCCAGGATGAAATGGCTGGTTTGGAGGGTGGAGTCTATGGCATTCTACCTGTCTGAGGTCCCACCCCTCCGCAAACCCCACCCTCTCCAGGCTCCACCCCTCAAATCCCCAGGAATTTGCCAGCCTGGAGTTGGCAACCCCATCTCCTTCCCAGCTAACCATCAACCTACCATTATCTGCCCCTTTGACTTCAGCTGACTTCCGCCCTCCCTTCTGCAGAGCAATTGTAATTTTGAGTGGTCTCCAGCCCTCACCTGGAGATTGGCAACAATGGTTCCCCATGAGGGACTGAGTGGTTTGGAGGGTGGAGTCTATGGCATTGTACCTGTCTGAGGTCCCACCCCTCCTCAAACCTCACCCTCTTCAGGCTCCATCCCTCAAATCTCCAGGAATTTCCCATCGGGAGTTGGCAACCCTATCAGGATTGGCCCCAATATGTTTTCTCCCAAAGGCCAAAGTAGGTGACTGGACCAAACTAAGTTGCCTACCATCAGGCACTGAGGGGAAAGTAGGGTTGCCAGCTATAAGGAGGGAAATACCTGGAGTGTTGGGGGGTGGAT